CGAAAAAGCAGTAAAAGCGAGGAGCCGAGAAGTCCGGTCCAGCAAAGGAGTACTTTGCAAACAGCTCAATTCGGCCTACACAATCACGGAATTGAATGTATGAAAAAAGATACTCATAAGAAAGACAAGCGTATGCATACACACATATGCAAGCTAAAAGACAGGTAACAGAGCGTGAACATGCAAATGAACAGCTGGGCGTGTAACGACTAAATTTTTGTTGCCGCCCCAATACAGAAAAACAAGCTCGATCTTTGAGTCGATAGAAGACGACCCCTCTGGGCGTGGTGACGCAGACCGGAAGGCCAGAACAATCGGCAAACGAAGGAAACCTTGAAATGTCCGTCAGTGATCACGCCCTTCTGTAGAAGCGGGTCGAGTTAGAAGGCGTACGTAACTACTATGTGCTCACTTTAAGTAGATGCGCGCAAGGGAACGGAAAAAACAATTTACTCTATCTAGGTGGCTGTCTGAAAATTTTGCATGAACGAGACTGGAGATGACAAAGCAAGCGAAAGTGTCTGCAAGGGTACTGGGGCCCGAAGAAGCACGTGGCTGAATGCAGGATGAGCACAGTGTGGGCTGGAATAGAGGGAGGTGAAGATGAAAAGCAAGCTGACAATTAAGAACGGACTGAATGCGATGTTATGAAGGATGGGAGCATGATTTAGCACTCAAGATCAAATTCACTCGCTGGGGTAGTCGACACAAAGGGGCATAAAATAGAATACTAAAAAACAGGATTATGAAGACCTTCAAACCTTTGGGCCTTGCATTTCACATAAAAACTGTAATGAAAGAGGTTCGCAAGCTGGTCTAAACGGATTTTAAACGGGAGAGGATAGGTGTGTTGTAACAGTTTATTAGTGTAGTAGGCTTAACATATTTTAGAAATTGATTAATATTTTATCTCATTCTGAAAATGTCTGCCAAATAATACATAAATAATAGGGACGGAGATGCCTGATTCGGCAATCAATAAGGGAATCTTTCTTCAGGTTCCTGTATGGCAAACCAACAAATACCTTAAGCCAAATATTTCATACGGAACGAAAGATATGAATGAAAAGTGACTCCAAGCCAAAATACCACAGCTTGCACATCAGCACCGTAGTCAAGGCATGGCTCTGGTCCAAACGGTTAATTTGACAGGGATGGTTCTCTCAGCACACCAGTTGTGGAAGAGGATCTCATCTACCCAACCAACTACATCCGTTGGCCACTTGGTGGGTCATGGAGGAAAATAAGTATAGCCAATGATAACTTGAAAGGAAGAACCAATTTTCTCGGTAAAGTTCCCAATGCACAACGAACACCCTTGTGAAGTCGAGTATAACTCAATAATCAGTCTAAAACGCGTAGGCGAAACTATAACCACTATTGTAAAAGCATACTACGTTTACCATCCGATGGCATTACATACTTCACTTTCAACTATGCTACTAGAAACAGACGAGGAGAGCATCTTTGCCCCTTCGTTCATGAGGATATCCATAAGGCCGTTTCCCGATCCTCTATTATCACTCACTGCCGATGTTTCTTTGTATACTTGCATTCTCTTTGTGAGTCTTCGGCTATGACAGTTTTCACATTCGAAAGAAGTGAAAGTTACACAATGAACAAGAGCTCCATCAAACTGAGAAATAACACTTAAAGTATTCATAATCTTGGACAAAGCTAGAGTTGGCCGGAATTTTATTCGGGCCACTTCATACATTACATTAGCGGTGAAGGTTGCAACGATCAGCTAACGCCTTTCGAATCTAATGGCAACTTTGCTAAGACAAGGGTCTGAAATATTTTATTAAAACAAATTAAATAACATAGGAGACTACCTAGAAGGCCGTAATTTTCAAAAAAATGTCTATTGGGATATTATAGAATGCGCCTTCAATACTAACACAGACAAACAACCTTTTAAGAGAGTGGAACCAAATTGAAAAGTGGGTTTCAAGTAAAGTGAATTATGCAAGACCACGTAAGCGAAATGGAAAAAAGTGTTGTAAAATTAGGGATTAGAAAAAAATATTAGCATCTCAGAATAGACTGTTGGAATGGATGAACTGTTCTCCTATATAAATTATTATATGCATAACCTAAAGAGCTCTACTGCCTACGCATGAAGCGATGCGCATTAGACAAATGGATACATGCTCCATATATAAATAACGTTTGATCGATTTATAAAACCATTCGTGTACATCCAAAACTCTTAATAGGATACCGAACACAAATATATGATTTAACAAGAAAAGATAGAATAAGGAGAACAAGGAATGTACGAGTATGCGTGATTGATTAAGTGTCAAATTTGATGTAGCAGACATTGAAGTAAAGCAGGATAGGTGAAATGAAAGAAGAAAGATATAGTCTGTGAAGGCAAGTATCGGAGGCTGAGTTTATTAGTTTGAGAAAAATGTAGGTCAATTTGGGGCATTAAATTAGAGAGAAAGAAAAAAGTAACAGAAAAGCTTAATAAAAAGTGTTGGGAGAGTGCAAAATCAAATAAAATTAGGAATGGGGGCAGCCAAAGTAGCGGAAGCCTCCTGGTACAGTATTGATAATAAGTAGCGGACGGCAAGTAATCAGATGAACAGGGGAAGAAAGGAAATAAGAGATGCCGAGGCTCAAGCAAAAAGGATAGTTTGTTCATCAAATAAACGGACTATCGGCCTCGTCTTTCAGACGATATCAAAAAGGAGAAAGTCTGTAGAAGAGAGATAGAAGTCGAATAAACAGGCTGCAAGAAAGAATCTTAGTGGATAGAAGACAAATGGAAATGTGAGTGCTCTTGCTCTCTCTTAATCTATCTACCTAGTGAAAAGGCCAAATCCCAAATTCGGATATAATGCATCAGACTGTCAGGAGGCGCATCAGTCCAATCGACTGGGCAATTTGCCATTTAGAGCAAACGTTCTTGCACATGCTCAATTGTTTCTAGATTTTTAAGCACATTCACGCTCAAAGATTTAACTTCACTCCCAAATTCGTTCATCGGCTTATTTATTAATCAATATACAAGGCTTAATATTTAGTCCGAGTACTAGTCTATAATATTCGCTGATGTTACAACTAGCGAATTTCATTGCCCAATAAATAATAGAACATTCTTTCATTCGTAAATGGTAGTGAATTAAGCATTCGTCTATCAATGCCATTGCTACTGCCTATTTGCTGTTTGTTCAAAAGCACCGATCTATGCACTTGATTAAAAAACCTGAGAGCACAACCAAAAGCTTTAATTCTTAATAAATTCTTCTTTATCTGCATCTGGTTGATAAATTTCGACTCTCTGAATACATAAGCCTACCTACAAAATGAAACGAAAGGAGGATTAAAATATAATGTCAACGAATCATCCAATTTCATGTTTTCTTTATTCACTTGGGCTTCTCTTTAGTTCACTATTTGTCTCCTTGCCCTCAAGCACCTTCGAATGTAGCTGGTGCGCAATTAAATCCTTCCATCCAAAGCCTTTTGGACCCAGTTTGCAGTATCAGGAATATCGACGACTTGTTGGCTATCCTCAAGTTTGGGGATAGGATTATCAGTACGCTGAGCCTCCAGCATGGGCCTGTGTTTTAGACATTGTTCCAACCAGCCGAATAGGATGTGATACTTGCTTTCTTGAAGTATATCAGCAGCCCCTGGGGACTCGGATCCAGGCAAAGACGCAGAGAATGATGGATAGTGGTCGACTGCAAAAGGGGACTCAATGTCAAATAGGCTATAAAGCATCATCAAGATTTTCCACATCAGCGAATGGGACTGGTCCTCGGCTGACCCGGAATTGGCATCGCCTCCGACGCTAATGGCTTCGATAGCCAGTTTAGAGAAGTTAGAGAGCAAATTGAGGAGCCAGTCACGTCGGATTTGGGTCAGCAACTGGCGATTATCTGCACGCATCACTTGGAAGCTGGTAACCAGAGAGGATCGGTCCGTTAGAGTCCTTCCAACTCCTGATTTACGTGTCGTAAGTAGCACTGGATGTGAATTCGTTGAAGAAGGTAGTATCAGTGGGGACGAGGATATATTTGGTGTGTCGGGATGAAGCGCATCAGGTCGAAATTCCGGAGAAGACGAAGACGGGCCATTGTAACTTACAATAGAAGCGGCATGAACAAAAACAAAATTCGGAGGTGCCAGGAATGGCAGAAGATAAAGGAGAAGAAGTCTATTAAGGAAAGACATGTTGGGGGTATCGGGAAAATAAGATATCTTGGTGAAATCAAAAGAAGTAAAAATTACACTAAAGGCTCGGAGTCCTGGCTGATACTGTCGAAACTAGCGGCAACTAGAGCCCTGTAGAGTTCAATGACTGCTGTACTAACTTACTAGATAGGCCAGTGAGTAGTCGAGGCTATTATAGTGCGAAGGTTGTCGGTGCGAAAGGGGGCCAAAAGTCAGATGGATGTGCGAAAATGAAAGGACGAATAAAATGTCAGCATATGAATGTAATAGAGATCAGAGTGGATAGGTTCTGGTCTGCAAAGATTCACAAAAGGCTAAACTGAAAGTTGATTATATGAATGCTCGAAAGGATGTACGGAGGGTTGTGAAATGATGGACAGAAGGATGAGTAAATTTATAGAACTCAGAAGAGTTTAATTATCATCTCAGGATAGGGGACAAGACATGGCGATCTCGTGAGAAACTTCCGAATCTAGTAAAAATCAGATAAGCAGAGAAAAAAATACAATCTCATAATTAGGAGACCAAAACTGCACAAGCCTGAAATATCACCTAAAGGGGTCTGAGAAAACGTGAAGGATAGGAAGTAAATAGAAAAGTGGAAGTGGAAAAGGTTGGTGGAACCAGCAGTTTCCATGAGATAAAGAGTGATATCAAAATTGACTTGTTGATGTATGCAAGTTAAGGTTAGAAACACAGATAGCTAATTTATTAGTATGGACGAAAGATGAGCAATTCAGCAGGCGCAACAATAAGTATAGAGAACTATTCATATAAATTTATGTTACGAGAGGCGCTCATGTATTCACACAAAAAATATATTAAAAATTGGAGGTTATCACATAAATAAATCGCTCATAAGCAAGGCAAGTACCAAAACAAAATATATAGTGAAGGATAAGTAAATATAAGGATAAATAACACATATACTAGAAATTTTTACATAAAATGAAAAAGGAAAATAGAACAAACTATTTTTTTAAATGGCAAGGGAAGTTAGAACTTGTAGAATAAAGCATTTGACAGGATTGGATCAATAAAAGCCTGTAGATTTATCAAAAAAGTATCATCACTGATGCATTTTTTGTTATCCATATTTTCAGTTAATTCACTTCTTCGAATTGTTATAAAGGTGGACAGATTGGCCATGAATAGAGCAGGTAACATTCAGGAGCAAGGCTTCAAAATCATAATGAAAGTTGGAAATATGGCTTTACATTAACAAAGAGATAGACAAAAACCACATATTTTTGTTTGTAAGTAGGTTTCCGAGACTAACATTAGATCGTATGAGCTGGGCGCTCGTGGTCAAAGCTTTGAGACTGTTCCATTGGAGGTGCTGGTGAGTCCTAGGTGAGGACGGAAATACAGTCCACTTCATCTTGAATAATGCCTTTTAGGAAGCAGGCAAAATCAATAAAAACCATCTCATATATACCCACGTTTTCTTACAATTACCGGGTGTCTTCTGGCAACAATCTCAAACACCATTTTCGTATTTGATTACATCGTCAATGAATTGTAGAGAAGGCCTTATTATGAATCTGTAAGGACCATCACTCCTTACAGCATTATATAAAAATATATCTTATACATAAATAAAAAACCTAATAGCAGCAACTAACATCTTTTATACGGTATGTGGCTTCTTTCTACTGTTGTGAACACAGTATCCGAATGAAGTTAAGCGAAAAGAAGAATACATATCTTCGGTGATTCATATTTAGCAATATTTTGGCTTCAAGCTGACCGACAAATGTGTGGATGCTCATAACTGTAAATAAAGTCTGAGAGAAGTAATTTGTTTATGCTGTATAAATCTGTGGAGACGAAAAATGTTTGCGGGATGGAAGTTGAAAATCAATTCACAAATGAAAGAAAGTATCGTCTTCTTCAAGTATCGATCGAGTATCGATGTGACATCGAAAACTTTCGTATGTGTAGAGAAACTTGTCAGCATAGACAATTAACGTTCAACATCTCATGAGATTATCCAATACAGGTTACATGAAGTTGAAACCAGCAAAAGAACAGGCACGCGAACCATGTACAGATATCGTGTGACAAAGGACAACCCTGAGTATGAGAATGGAACAAACGCCTCTTTTATTGTGATTAAAGGGAGAAATTTGCAAAAAGCTGTCTTTAGCATTATAGAGACTAGATAACGGATGCGATCTGTATTCAAAATAGGAAGAGGAATATAAATTAAAAAAGAAGTAATCTTACTAATACATGGACAAGGACATATGGTTGTGCCAGCTTGGCAAAAAGGGCACAACAATATTAAAATAATATAAAAATATTGAAAATTAATGATCAGGTGATTCATCAAGGACCATTGCAGACTGGATGATGACACCAGGTTTATATCGCTATCCTGAAGCTTCGCTTTTACTAACCCAGTCGCCAGGTCCATGCCAAATATTTCAGTGAACAGTTAAGTGAATGCAAGTCATTTCGGTAGAGTCTGCAAGAAAACCCTTTCAGTGTCTGTTCTGGAGAATTTGACCCCCCTACAAGAATGCTACATCTGCAAATTTCCTATATGACCATGAAAGGTGAACATATAAAGGTACTCAGCAGAAGTGAATGAAGATATGCAAGATGCTAGGTAAGAGTGTAAAATTTTAGTCAGCGGAACACACCGCCCGTTTGCGTTGCCTGTTCGAAGATGAGGGCTGAGGTGAAGCCATGTGTTTAAGGCATAGCATAAGTAAATATTTAAGACCTATACACCAAAAAGATGCTTGTGAATCCGATCAAGCGAAGATGTATTTGAAGCTAACTAGATAATGAAGGGGTTATTTCGAATGATGATGTAGGCATGGAAAAGATCTCAAGGCATTCAAGGTACTTTTAAATCAATTGCTAGGCTATTCCTGCACATATGTTAGAGGGGCACCAGATGAAAGGACCACTTTTAACCCTCTATTCAGTAGCTGAACCGTTCCGGCGATTCACGGACACTGCACATATGAAATGCAATAGCCTTGCTATTAAGTTATGAGGATGCAAAACGAAGTGCCTTGACAAACAAGGTAGTCGAATTCGACCGAAGATAAGGTCATGGTCACCCAACATTTTGACCATTTACTAAAAATCAGATACCGTTACTAATGTAGGACGGATCTGAGAAGTATAGCAAACGAATGAAAAAGATTTAGCTAACCATATTGGAAGTTTGAGTTTGCCGGTTTAAAGGTGGTCCGAATCTAAAGTATGTATGCGAGAATGTTATTGCTGCGACTCCTGTTAATAACATTTGATGGATAGAATTTTGGCAGGGGATCCTGTATTGACCTAGATTCATACTATCTTCCAGACTCATTAGCCCTTAAAAAACGATTCGGTTGACCGAAATGGTTACAAGCTTGAGGATGCAATGGAAATCCCAAAATTATGGCCATAAAAACGGAATGATGAGAAATAAATGGTGAATGAACGCAGAAGCTGGCATTGTTTGAAGATACTTTTACCACGAATATAATTTAAGCCATCAAATTTACAAGAGGATTTATTCCATGGCCTAGGTAGCTAAGAACATCCATGGAATGCTAGCTAAGCTCGATGCGAAAATGTTTAAATAGTGAGTGGTGAAAAGACACAAAAGCTGGATGTAAATCAATCAAAGTTTACTTGATAAACTCACAAAATTGCAATGGTTTCCAGGAGTCAAACATGCTTAATGAGAAGCGAGGGAAAATAATATAAAAAGCCGACTAAATGCTAGCGGCTAATTGCACAAAATGAATTCTTTCGTAATAATGTGGTCGCTTTAAGGAAAAGACTATATATGTTAAGAGGATGCGTAGGTGGTGAAAAAGTTACTGAACCATCAATAACACAAAAGACTAAATAGCGGACGAAGTAAGGTAAAGTTATTTTCGTAGGTGTGTAAACTATGATGGTGTGCCCTTGTGCTTGGTCGCACCATATGCTATAAATCCTTAAATATGGCGTTATCGGGGACGGTAAATAAAGGCTGTTAGGCAACAAGATTTAACAGTCAGACAGTGAATTTTACTTAGTTTTTAAGTTGGTTGTCGTGACTGTTAGTAAATCAGATCAATGAGTTATATTCACCCGATTTCATTTAAGATGATGAAGGAATGGTAATTGAATTTTTCCACAATGATATGAGTAGAGCTGATGGTTCCAGTAAATTTCACAAAGCCTTGCTTCCCAAAAAGTTGTTCTCATTCAGGATGGATTGAAGTTTAGACCTCGCCTAGGTCTTATCAACACTGTAAGCGGGAGTTGAACCATGAGAGTGAAGCGTATAATCTCGACAGACTAACCAATACGCCACATTGCTATTAATGTCCTTGGGTCGCAAGGCAGACGTGAATTTCAAGGAAAGCCATAAATTATCCCATGTCACATTCTGTGGTGGGATTTCAGCTCTACTCATATAATTGTGGGAAAATTCAACTACCAATCATAACTTTTAGATCTGATTTATTGGTTGCGAAAACGAGGTCTACATACTAGAAATATGCTTCTGAACAGTGAATTATAATGAAAACTAGTTGTATGGATGCCATAGGTAGACAGTCAGCCTCTAGTAAGGGGGAGGCAAAAAGTGATGAGTATATGAGATGTGAACGTGTCGAAATTATATCCTGCCTTACCACGCCGAGAATTCCCAGACCTAGGCGAGTTAGAAACTACAGTTCATTCTGCATGAGAATATCTATTGGGAAGCAAGGCTATGTGAAATTCAATGGAAACGCAAGACTTACTCATATCATTGTGGGAAAAGCCAATCATCAGTCTTTTATCACCTTAACGAAATAGGGTGAATACATCTCATATATATCATCTACTGGAAGTCTCGAAAACTTATTTATAAAAGAAAAATAAGGGGTGGTGAAACGTGGCAATGACTTTAAGCATTCGTTCTACTTAAGACAAGCATCCTATTTCCCTGGGCCTTAAAGTTCCTTAATACAATCAATCAGAAAAGTCTTAGGAAAGACCCCATCCATCTTAGGCCT